CTACACAGGTGTGCCATTAACAACCTGTCAAGACTCTCTGCATTAAAGTACAGACTCAACTTCCCCAGACCTCTTAACCAAAGTTTCTCTCCTTATTTCTTTAAGGTCAAAAACAGCCAGGCCTCTAGATCCCAGATAGTGCAAGAATGAAGATTTTCCTGCATGTGTGCCATAAAATGGATTTTTAATTATACAGGTTAATTCTTGCACCTTGGTTTCAGGCACTGCTGCAGGAACTTTGCTGTCCAGAGACTTGGCCAGCATAATGAAATGGCTCCAACATTTCAAGATCCTTTTAGCTGTTCACTCACAAGTGAGAACACTATACCAGAGCTGCACCCCATTTAAGAGAATCAATCACCTGTCAACACAATCAAGAATAAAACATAACCCTTTCGCAACCCAGAGCGCTGCAACTCCACACTCCATTACTATACCAAGGAATTGTTGACCTCATTTTCAAGTTATTACCTCTCTTGGGCTACAGTGCTATCACTTACAAATATGATCATCCTTAGTTTACATGTAATGGCTAAACTTTCCTTTTTTCTCAAGTATTTGCACTCAGCTTTTCAAGTCACCACATATATGCATAAGATTTAGTTCACTGCTACTCTACTAGTATTTATTTTGAACAAGTACATCAGTATGACTAACTACCATTGAAAAGCACCAGGCCAAACTCAGGATTCTACAAGAGAATTCCTATTAGTGTGACAACTACCCCTCACAATTACATTTTACATGTAATTACATGTAACTTAGCTAACATAACCAGCTACATCTGGGGCAAGATTCTTCATCCTGAGGAGGGGTGGCCAAAGGGGGGATGGGGGCCATAAAAGAGACAAAGTGAACAGTGACGACTACTACTGCATTCACTCTAGTCAATGAACTACTGGTCGGCGAGTTCAAAACAGAGGTCCTTATTCACACTGGATTCACCTATGGTATTCACTGCCACAGAGCACTGTGGACACCAACAAAGAAAAAAAAAACACATGCCATGTTGAAACAACTCAAAACAAAAAAAGCACAAAAATCTACAGAAAAAGCTTTTCATTACACAAAGACATGCCTTGTGACCCTGAACCGCAACTAACTGGCAGCTAAGACTGCACAGAAAAATATCACTGCACAATTCCCCCATGTTTCTAATCTTTCCTAGGCATTTACTGTTGGCCACCATCACAGACAAGATCCTGAGTTTCCACGGACCTTTGACCTCACCTTGTGCAATCTGTACCCTTTGTACTCTTCCACAAAACACTATCATTGGTATAGTACCATATTTTAATCAAACTACCTTCTGTTCACTATTGACTTTGTAATTCATGTAATGCATATAACGATGCTACATATGAAATTATTACTCTGAATGAAAAAGCAACAAAAACACACAAATAAAGAGTCCTTATTAATTTCAAATTAGTAGGAAATCATAACAGACTTTCAATTATCCTTCAGTAAACACAGAAGAAGCTCAAAGTAATTTTCACGAAAGCCTTTCAGCTTGCCTACAAAAGTATGTAAGCCTGACATCTGGAGGGGAGCGCAGGGGGAACAAACAAACCAACAATCAAAAAACCCAAACCCCGAAACACTCAAAAAACAAGTAATGAACCCTTAGAACTGCGGGTATATAGAAAACCTAAAGGGACATGAAATCTACTGCTACTGATCTAGACAGTTATTTTGAAATCAGACTCCTTCTCTTTTTGCTGTATTACTATACACGAAAAGGTTTTTTAAAAAAATCCTTTACTCGAAGTTATTTGCTTTGAAAATACCAAGAAATTACAATTCCACTCTGCTTTGCAATGCTCGAAAAGCATCAGGAAAGTTTCGGGAGAACGTCGTCGTCTCAGAGGGGAACCCAGAGCTCAGCAGGTTCCCACTCGCGATGCGTGGCAGGTTCCCCGCACCACGGGAGCGGGACATGCCCTGGTTCACGCACGCTGCTGCAACTCTACCGGGCTCCCGACC